GACCCTGCTGCCTCCAAAGCCCCGGCCGAGCAGGGCTCCCCCCGCGTCCCGGCCGGGGCTGCGCCCCCTTGCGCTCTCCCCAACTTGCCTTTGTTATTCCAGCTCCCTTCCTCGCCTCGCCTCTGACACCGCGGCGGACTGCAAAATACGGAGCTCGGAGCCACCGCCACACCTGGGATCCGCAGCGGGCGCCGGGCTGAAGCCTCCCCTCGCCCGTGTGGGGAGGGGAGCGCGTGCTGGAGCACACGCGCGCGCGCGCGCGCGCGTCTGTGCTGCGGGAGCGCTGATTATGATTTGGGACTGAGGGTGCTGCACATCATAGTGGTGGGCTTGAGGAATGGGTGTGGAAAAGGAAGGGAAGAGGACATGTGTTTGTATGTGTACGTGAACGTGAGAATTTAGTGCACAGGGTAATGTTTCGTGTTTTGTTTTTGAGTGTATGTGGGGTTGTACAACGATATGTGTGTGCGTGTGCAATTGCATGCCTCTTTGAGTGTGCCTGCTATGGCCGTGTACACGCATATCTGTGAGGCAAGTATACGTGTTTGTGTGCGTGTGCGCGTGTGGAAGCGTGTTTGTAATACTGAGTGTGGGAGCAAATGTGTATGCTGTTTGTGTAGGAGTTTCCGTGTTAGTGGCAGTGGATGTGAGCCAAGGTGGGCGCGCACTTGGATACTCTCGGGGGTGGGTCTGCGAGGGGAATGCAGCGAGTGGGTGCACCCAACTGCGTCCTGTGTCTTCGCTCTCCGCAGCCCCTGGGGTAGTTCCCAGCTCTGGACTAAGGGGTCCGGACACTCCCACCCCGCCCGCGCGCTTTGGGCCCAGGGCAGTCCCCGCCGGGCCTTAGGGGACCCACGCACCTCTGGACGCGATGGGTGTCAGGGACAGACAATGTGCGCACCGCTCCTTCCCAGCTGTCGGGGTACCGCGCTCCAGCCTCCCCCAACATCGCCCTTGGTGGTGGTGGTGATGGGGTGTCTGCTTGCTCCACCCTCCAGTCCTCAGACTTTGGGAAGAACCCTAAAGCTCTCTCCAAGGGGAAGGCTTTGGCGATCTGGTTAACAACTCGCTCACCCCCAGTTCGGGTACCTGACCGCGTTTGCAGCGCGGAGTGCACTGCCGTCGGCTGCATGCGAGCGAGGAGCGGGGGCACTCCAGTGATCCGGGTGATTTTTAGACCCCTCCCCACTGTGGTCCCCTTCCTAGGCTCAGCATTTCTCTCCTACTCTAAACTTGATGGGTCAAAGGCGGAGGGAGGGGGGGGCGGAGGTCAGGGAGTAGTGGAGGGAGAGGGGCAGAAGAAGCAGGTGCGGGGGAGGTGACACGCGAAACCCACTAGAGCCAGAGGGGGAAAGCTTGGAGAGGGCCCAGACGGAGAAGCGGAGAAGAAAGAGAGCAAAAGAAGGGAAAGTAAAGGCGAGGGAGAGAAACAGGAGAAAAAGAAGAGGAGAGAGAGGTGAGAGCGCAGAGAGCGCGCGAGCAGAGTGGATAAGACCGCTGGCGGCGGCGGCGGCGCAGCGCTCCGCTCCGTCCGCGGTTCCGCACCGGCTTTTGCGGCCGGCCGGCGGCGCGGGGCCCTTTGGAAATAGAATAGCCAATGTAATCTGACACTTCAACTTGCTCGGCTCCGGGCGAGTTGATTCACTTACTCACCCCCTAACGCCGAGTTCCTTTTCACTGTCTGTGGACATTAAAAAAGCGAGCGGCGGCGGGCACCCGGGAGAGCAAGCGGCCGGGCAGCGGGCGGGCGAGCAGCGATCGGGAGGCTGAGCAAGCGAGCAGCGCCGGCGCAGCGCGGTGACCCCAGCCCGGATCTGCGAGGAGCAGGAGCCGGAGCGGAGTCGATCTCGGCGCCCTCGCAGCGCTCTTCCCGGCCCGAGCCGGCCCTGCCTGGTCGCGGCGGCGGCGGCAGCGGCGCGTCCTCCAGCGGCGGCAGCGGCGCTCGCAGCGCCTGGTAAGTTTGGGGCCAGACCTGGGAGCCCACTCGCCCCGGGCCTTCCTCCAGCTCCCCGTGGACTCTTGGGGTGCGAGCATGGGGCGCTGGGTGCTGGGGCTCTCCCCTTTAAGGGTGCGCGGGGGCCAGGAGAGTCGGGAGAGCGACCGGGCTCCGCTGCGCTCCCCGTGGCGGCCGGGGGCCGAGGCCCAGGCTACTGGCGAACGCCGGGCTGCGCGAAGCGGTCTTGGGCTGCACGCGGGGGCCGGGTCTTGCTGGGTGTGCGGGGCGTGAGTGCGGTTGTGCGCGCGTGGATCTGGTGCCCTCCTCTTGCCGGTGCGCATCTAGCCTCGTTTTGTACACCAGGGGCCGGGCAGAACCGAGATTCGGGGAGGCAGGGTGGGAAGGACCGGGCTAGGACCACCTCGGTCTCCCTCGCTTCCTTTGGGGAGACGCGAAGTTGTGCGCCTGTGTGTACGAGAACCGCCGCGGACGGCGCTGGATTTCGGGGTGGCAAGGGGTGGTGGTGTTAAGTTGTGCATCTGAATTTTCAGGAAAACACACACTTTTGTAAATGGGAGGTGGGGGCGCGGTTAAGTTGTTTGTGTGTGAATTGCCCGGGGATACGCGGCGCTTGGTGTGAGCGGGGAACGCCAAGGTGTGTGTGTAGGGGCTTCCTGTAGGTCTTTAGAAGCCGAAGGGGCTTTAAAGGCAATGCCTGGACGGGGCTGCCCCGGCCAAGAGGGGAGCCCGGAGGGAAGATGTGCGTGTGCGCGCGCGCGCGTTGCAAATACGAAAGTAATTTCCCCGTGTTCTTTCTTCCTCTTCATCTCCGGCGGCGGCGGCCCCGGGGGAGTGGGAGGCCGGCA